CTCCTTACTCTTCTATTTCAGAAGCTTCCCAAGTTGGGTCTCATCCTGGTTCAGAGCTCTGCCAACAGGAAGTTTCATGTTGCCAGGTAAGAAAGGGAGAAATAGGGAAAAGAGGACAGGAATGTGGTAGCCCGAAACGATCCTGCCGATTCCTTCCTGCACCTCTTACTGATGTCAAATACAAAACTTCCTTACATCTCCATCAAAATCTACCATGTGGTCCATATCCTGCAGGATTAAAAAACAACCTCTAAGAGTCATTTCCCCAACTTAGTCCACTCCAGGAAGGAAGCCTCACCAAGGCTGCGGGCAGGGTGAACAGTCCAATAGATGTCCAGGCAAGTAGCTTGGTTCTTCATGCGCCGGTGGCACGTACAGCCGAGCAGAGAGCTGTTCCTGAGTTGCTGGGCTGCCTCTAGACAGTCTGCAGGGACTGAAGGCTCTTCTGAGGACAGTGAGGTGCTTAAACTAGAGGTGCAGGAATCCAGATGGTGGTAGGCAGCATTGCAAGTGGGATTGGCCTGGCATTTCCTCCTGGCCTGGATACAGCTGTTCACGAGGCGGCTCTCTGTGGGCGAGGGGTCTCCTGTGGAAGGAGAGATCAGATGAGACTCACACAGGGTCAGAGTGGCCATCCAGCCAATTTGAGGTAGGGTGGGGGTGGAGGGATTCCTGATGAAATCTTCAGAAAGTCTTAGGGAAGTAGAAAAGTCCTTCAGGAATAAGTGTGGAAAGAAAGAAGTTCAGCAAACAGTCTACAGTTGTGTGAATCTGGACAGATTAGGTCCAAGAAGAGATGGGGTTTGAAGAGGGGGGCTGCTCAGCTTCCAGGGAGGTAGAGGATGGTTGAAGCTAGGACTGAGAACCCTGCCAGGCATAGAGGAAGAGGACTCTGGGCAGGGCCATTCCATGCTCAAGGCTAACATCATACTAGAGAGTTGGGAACAGACAAGCAAGTGATACATGAAAGGAACAACTTTGAGTTTCCATTAAAAATCATTTAAAAATACTTTAGGAAGGGGGCCAGCAGGTGGTGTGGTGGTTAAGGGTGCTGGACTCCCACATGGGCTGAATGCCGTTTGAGTCCCAGACCTGGCAGCTTGTTTTCTCATTTTTTCTTTCTCTCTCTCTTTCTCTCACTCTGTCCCTCTCTAGTCAAATTAAAATAAACAAATAAAATTAAGTTAAATAAAATAACTCTTGAAAAATACTTTAGGACGGGGGACCAGCAGTTAGTGTTAATGGCTATGTCACTGGACTCCCATGTAGTTGACCAAGGGTTTGAGTCCTGGAGCCGGTGGCTTAAACTCACGCTGGGTGTGTGTGCATGTGTGCCCAAGATCCCAAGAGCAGAATGGAGAATAAGGGATTGCGGCGTGGCCATCCCCCCTGTGGGATGAATTCTCACTTTCTGTCTCTGTCTTTCTGGCGAGCGCATGCGCCCTATAGCAAAAAAAAACCCAAAAAACAAAAAACAAAAAACCTTTAGAATGGGAACTGATTGGGATTGGAGTGGGAGGCTATTTCCAGAGGAAGAAAGGGTCATGTGACTCTGTCATTCACTCACAAATATCAGGGTGTGTTACAGCTCAGTCCTGGAGGAAGCTTCTGCATACTAGGACTTAGGGTCTCTATTGTAGGGTAATAGAACACCATCATCCCCCAGTTATTCAAAGCAAAAATATAGGAGTCATTTTTATTTTTCTTTCCTTTACAGACTACATCCACTCCAATAAGTCCTGCCAACTCCACAACATATCTAGAATCTATCTACTTTTCCCCATGCCCATCACCTCCTCCTTAGCTCAAGTGACTATTAATTCTTGTCTGAACTATTGTCAAAGCCTCCCTGATTCCATATTTCAAAATTATTTCCCCATACCATCTAGATAACTTTCAGATATCTTTTCTTTCTTCTTTTTTTAGTTTGGTAATAGGGTACGTGGGCTAACCAGAGAGAGAAGAAGTGAGAAATCACTCTCCAGGGTGGATGGGCATGCTGCAATTCCTTCTCTTCCAATATCCTCCTGGAATGTGAGTCATGCATGCACACGTACCTGATGTCATTTTCAAGCCACTTGGTTCAGGGCTTGAACCATGCAGTTGGCCATGTGGGATCCAGTCACCTTAACTTCCATGTTACCTGCTGGCCCTATTACTTTTTTTTTTTTTTTTAATTTCCTACAGAGCATGTGTGCTCACTGGAGAGAGCCAGAACGAGATAGGGGGAAAGTGAGAAAGCACCTTCCAGAAGGGATGGCCATGCCTCAATCCCTTCTCCTCCGTTCCCCTCTCAGGATTTTGGACATTCATGGACATGCATCTGGTGTGTTTTTTAAGTTGTTGGGTCCAGGACTCAAACCACACAGCTGGTCATGTGGGATTTAGCTGCCACCACGTCACTGACTGGCCCCAGATACCACTTTTCTTTCTTTGTTTTCCTCCAGATTTTTGCCTTAAGATCCATGCCAGAGAGAGACAGATATAGACAGAGGGAGCAGGAGAGTGAGAAATCACCCCTTGAGGGGTACAGCCATACCACAATTCCTTCTCCATTTTCTTCTTGGGATTTTGGGCATGTATACACATGTGCCTGGTATGATTTTCAAGCCAACAGGTACAGGACTTGAGCCATTGTCAGCCACAGGATTCCAGCACCTTAACCACCACACCACTTACTGGCCCCTCCAGACACCTTTTTTAATAAACTTTTTTTTTTTTAAGTTGGAAAATTTTTCATTGAGGTAGAATTAATGCAACATAAAAATTAAACTCTTTTCCTTAAGTTTTATTTCTGCATTTCTTTCATGAGAGAGAAAGTGAGGAAGAGACAGAGACAAAAGCACACCAAACAGGGTCTTCATGTTGCAATTCACCTCTAGTCTCAGGTGGACTGAATGATAGGCATACACACACCTGGCATGCTCAGGAAGGTCTCCAGTCTCAAACCTAGGACTTTTCTCATGTGGGTTCAGTGTTACCACCATAGTGTTACCACTATACCATCACTGACTCAAAAATTAACCTTAGGGAGCCAGCAAATGGTATGGTGGTTAAGGGCACTGGACTCCCACATGGCCGATCATGGTTCAAGTGCCGGACATGGAAGCTTGCTTTCTCACTTTCCCTTTCTCTCTCTCTGTCCCTCTCTGGTCAAATTAAAATAAATAAAGTTGGGGACCAGCAGTTAGCGTAATGACTATGTCACTGAACTCCCATGTAGTCAACCACAGTTCAAGTCCCGGACCCAGTGGCTTAAACTCATGCCGGGCATGTGTGCATGCATGCCTAAGATCCCGAGAGGAGAATGGAGAAGAAGGGATTGCGGTGTGGCCACCCGCCCCCCACCCGGGGGGGGGTGGATTTCTCGCTTTCTATCTGTCTGTCTCTCCCTGTCTGGTGAGCGCACACACCCTATAGCAAAAAAACCTTAAAAAAAAAAAAAAAAGACAAAAAATAAAGTGAAATAAAATAATTCTTGAAAAAATTTAACCTTAGCATCCATTTATATAGTGTTTAGAACATTCACAATGTTGTGCAACTATCACTTCTATCTAATTCCAAAATGTTTTTATCACCCCAAAAGAGAACTTGTCCCTATTAAACAGTCACCATTCTCCTTTTTACCCAGCCTCTAACAAACACCAATCTGCTTTGTTTGAACTCCTGTTTATTATAATTATAATTATTATTATTATTATTTTGGGCCTCCACCTAGGAGTTGAATTGCTGGGTAATATGATAAGTCTATGTTTAGTATTTTGAGGAGCCACTAAGTTGTTTTCCACAGCAGCATAATCATTTCACATTGCCACCAGCAATGTACAAAGATTCCAGTTTCTCCACATTTTTGTCAACACTTGTTATTTTTCATGGTTATCATCATCATCATCATTATAGCCATCCATCCTCACGGGTGTGAAGTGATATCTTCTTGTGGTTTTCATTTGCATTTCCCTAATGATTAAGGATTCTAAATGTATTTTTATGTGCTTGTACATCTGTACATCTTTGTATGTCTTATTTCCTTTCTCCCCTTCTGGCAATAGCTCCTCACTTCAACTCCAGTCAATTCTCATCCTAAGAATTTTCTTTCAAATTTTTCTTTTCTTTTCTTTTTTTTTTTTTTTTTTGAGGGGTGCTATAAAGCGTATGTGCTGGTCAGAGAGACAGAGAGGGGAAGTGAAAAAGCATCCCTGGGGGAATAACCACGCAGCAATTTCTTCTCCATTCTTCTCTTGAGATTCTGGACACACACAGATACACACACACACACACACACACACACACACACACACGATGAAAAACACGGTGTGTTTTTCAAGCTTCCAGGCCTGGGATTTGAGCCACACAGCCGACTGTTTGGGATCCAGCCGCCTTAACAACCATGCCACCTGAGTGGCCTGGTAAAAAGTTTTACTGAGGGGTCGGCAGGTGGCATGGTGGTTGAGGGTGCGGGACTCCCACATAGCCGACTGTGGTTTGATTCTCAGACCTGGTGGCTCACTTTCTCGCTTTCTCTTTCTCTCTCTCTGTCCCTCTCTGATCAAATTAAGATAAGTAAATAAATAAAAGATTAAAAAAAGAACAAAGTTTTATTGAAGTATAATATACAGAAAATTGCATGAATGAAAAATGTGTAGCCCAATAAATTTCACAAAGTGAATACACCTGCGTAATCAGAATCCAGATAAATAGAACATTACCAGTAACACAGAAGCTCTCTTCCAGTCACTAGATTCCCAACAAAACCAATCTCTTGATTTTTTTATTTTTGAGAGGTTTTTGCTATAGGGCACGTGCACTCGCCAGACAGAGACAGAGAGACAGAAAGTGAGAAATCACCCCCCAAGGGGGATGGCCACACCACAATCCCTTCTCCTCCGTTCTCCTCTCGAGATCTTGGGCACACACGCACATGCGCTCGGAGTGATTTTTAAGACACCGGGTCCAGGACGCGAACCGCAGTCGACTACATGGGAGTCCAGGGACAGCCATTACATTAACTGCTGGTCCCCATCTCTTGATTATTTTTAAATAATTACTTTTTATTTAACTTAATTAACTTACTTATTTTTAAATTTTGACCAGAGAGGGACAAAGTGAGTGAGAGAGAGAGGGAGAGAGAAAATAAGAAGCAAGGCGTCAAGTCCAGGACTTGAACCACTGTTGGCCATGTGGAAGTCCAGCCCTTAACCACCACACCACCGGCTGTCTCCAATCTCTTGATTTTTAAAAAAAATTCATTTACTAATCCTTTCTATAAACAAGAGAGATGGATAGACAGAAAGAATCAGCCCCAACGGGGTCTGATGCTATGACCCATATGCTTCAGCCAGCCCCAGATCACGGGCGCGAGTGTGCAGGGGGTACCCAGAGAGGTCTCTGAATGTGAACCTGGAACCTTTTCTTGTGAGTCAACCTCACAGAGTTTCACATTTTATTGCTGTGTGGTCCTCTAGTCCCAGTATTTTGATTTCTAACATCAGGTATTAGTTTTGCCTGTTTCTGGTCATACAATATATGCTTCTTCTGTTTGACATCATGCTTGTGAAATTCACCCATACTTTTAAGCATAGCTGTAAGTGGGTTATTATCATTGCTGTATAGCATTCTATTGTGCAAATATAATTCTATTGCTGACTGGTATTATATGGGGTCATCCTTTTAAACCATAAATCAAATCATATTATTATTGCTTAAATCCCTCCAACAGCTTCCACTGCACTTCGGTTAAAACTTACTTTATAGGGAACCAGCAGTTAGCATAATGGCTATGTCGCTGGACTCCCACGTGGTCGACCGCGGTTCGCGTCTCGGACCTGGTGGCTTAAATCTCACGCCGGGCGCGTGTGCGTGCGTGCCCAAGATCCCGAGAGGAGAATGAAGGAGAAGGGATTGCGGCGTGACCATTCCCCCTGGGGGGTGATTTCTCGCTTTCTGTCTCTATGTCTCTCTCTGTCTGTCTGGCGAGCGCACACGCCCTATAGCGAAAACCTCTCAAAAAAAAAAAAAAAAACTTACTTTATAAAACCTCATTTACGAAGCCTTATAAAGACCTGGTCCCTGCCTACCTCTCTAACCTTACCTCCTAATCCTGTCTCTCTCTTCCACTTCCCTCCAGCCATGCCGACTGAGCTTGTCTCCTTAGGATTTTTCCCCAGCCTTTCTTTCTGCTTGGAATACTCTTACTCCTCACCTTCATATGGCTGCCCCTTCTGGTAATTCAGACTGCAGTTTGAAGCCCCAACAAACTAATGTGAAGTAGCCTCCGAGTCACTGTAACACCAATGCTCTGTATAGCACTAAACATCTTTCAAGATTTTTTTCTTTTCATCCTTTTCTGTACAAGGTCGGAATTTCTTCTGTACATGGCCACACTACAATCCCTTCTCCATTCTCCTCTTGGGATTTTGGGCATACACTCACATGTCCCTGGCATGTTTTTCAAAGCACAGGAGTTGGCACTCAAACTGCTCAGTGGGCCATGTGGGATCCAGCTACCTTAACCACAAGCTGCCTCTTCCAGTTTACTGCAGTCCCTACAACTCTCTTACTGCAATGTCCCACTTCCTCATCTATGCTGCCACTGCCATATCTGTTTCACACCGAGCAGTCAGCAGCATGGCTTCCTGCCTTGGTTTTCTACTTCTTGGTTCATCGGAGAATGAGTTTCTGCAAATGGGGCAGATCAGGCTATTCTTTGGGGCCCACAATTATCATTTGAAATTTTCTTCCTAACAAGGCCCATAGCACAGGCACCCATTTTTGTGGATGGATAAACTTAAAAAAATATAATGCACCAAGACCAAGTCAAGGTTGGAAACACAACTCCAGCCTCCTATCTACTTCAGAATGGTTTTCAGTAGATGATGCCACTTCCCTGTAAACTGAAAGTCTCCTTTATGTTTGGCTTTGGTGGACCTCAAACAGTAGTATTTTCTACTCAGTTATTAAAACCCTCTGTTCGTCTGTGTTCTTTAGGGATTTTCAGTGAAGTCACTTAATCAGAAACCATTGCTGTCAAATATTAATGTGGAAAATAGACTTATCATCTATCCTGCTTTATTAAATCAATTAATGAGGAAGGTGTTTAACATCTACCTTTGATCCTGATACAGCGACGCCTTTAGGGTTAGTGGAACTCCCTGGAGAATCAAATCAGACTAGTGATGGCTTGCTGTCCTAATTTACTATGGAGTCAGTCTGGACAAACCAGTATTCTCCCTCCTTCCTTCCTTATCTGTCTCATCACCAACTCTGAACTTCTGCAGTACCACTCTGTGGACAGAAGTGCAGAGCTCTGTGTGTGGTCCCTGCCTTAGGATTCCCTCTATGCAGGCCCTGAGTAGGAGCGCCACAATGAGATCCCATGCACCCATTCCATTCCCAAAGGCCATGAGCATGTTTCTAGGGATGCAGACCTCCGCTACCCTTCCTTGAGAGCATAGCACAGTTCTAGAACCGGGCTTTGAACTATGTATCGTACAAAACATCTACTGCAGTCTATTACCTATAGGGCAAGGCACTGTGCTGGGTGGCTATAGGGAGAAAGAACATTCTCGCCAATAGCAAGTTTTTTGCATCAATTAAAGTAGAAATTAGAACCAGCCAGCGGTGTGGCAGTTAAGGAAGCTCTGGATCCCATATGGCCAACTGCACTGTTCGAGTGTGGACTCAGAGGCTTAAAAAATATGCTTGGCACACGTGCATTTGTGCCCGAAATCTGGAAGGGACAGATGGAAAAGAAGGGATTGTGGTGTGACCATGCCTCACCAGGGGTACTTTTTCACCTTCCCCTCTCCCTCTATCTCTGGTGACCACACGCACTATCTCTAGCAATAATAATAATAATAATAATAATAATATTAATATATCCCAAGAAGGGTAGGAGTGAGGGTGGCAAGTTGGTCAACCACACAACCAGATAATGATGTTAGCAAATTCAAGGGAGTAGTTTATAAACCTAGTTTCTAACAAACTTCTTCATCTGTACCTAGTTTCTGCTTCCTCAATCTTTAAAGAGCGTGAAAGAGTTTAAGACCACAGGGAGCAAATGTCACTCCTACCTCTGATCAAATTTCCCTGCTCTTAGAAATGCTCTCTTGCTAGTGGCCTGGCTGTGACTGTGTAAATGCACCTCAGAAGAGGACAGAGGGGAACCCGGAGCTAGTACATCCTTGGGTACCCTGGGTCTACAACCATCTAGACACTGTATTAGGCATAGAATCCAGCCCCTTCCTGGTACCCGCGACTTCCTCCTGGAGTCCCCAGCCTGGGATAGACGGACACAAGGGACCTGCTCTGGGCAGCGGTGCCCAGGGCTCCGCCTACACTCTCACCTCCACCTATCCCTACAGCCCCGGCCGGTGCTGGCTCCGCGAACGCAGGGATGACACTCACCGGACCCAAGAGGCAGGAGCAGCGGGAGCAGCGGCAGCAGCAGCAGGACCATGGGCGACGGCGGGTTTAGGGGGCGCACCATGGCAAGGTGCAAGCGCCGGGAGCCACGCTTCCTTCGTTTCTCGCACCCAAGCTCGAGCTCCGCGAGCGGGGTTCCTCCGCCGGCGCCTCCCACCACCGCCTCCCGCCCCTCTTGGCGCGGCGCCGATACTCTCCCACCAGGGTCCTGGGCGCCGCCCTCCAACTCCAAAGCGCGCGGCCGCGCCACGCCACGCCGCCTCTTCAACTGAACCCAGAGCGCCGCGGCGGCAGGGGCGAGGGAGGGGAGCGCCCTGAGAGCTGGTGGGCTTCTGTTGGAAGAGCTTGCGCTACCTGTCTGTCCACCAGCCGTCTGTTGCCACCTTTCCTTAGTAAGACATTGTGTAATGATGTCTCCCGCAGGAGACAGCCACCTTGGGGGTCCAAATAGTAATATTTCTCCCAAAAAAGTACCATTTTTCATTTTCCAGAACTACTTCCCGCCACCACACACACCAAAGAACAGAAACACCTGGGACCAGCAGTTGGCTTAATGGCCATAACGCTGAACTCCCACGTAGTCAACCACAGTTCGAGTCCTGGACCCGGTGGCTTAAACTCAGGCGGAGTGCACTTGCGTGCCCAAGATCCCGAGAGGAGAATGGAGGAGAAGGGATTGCGGCATGGACATCACCCCTGAGGGATGATTTATCACTTTGTGTCTCTCTGTCTCTCTCTGTTTTTCTGGCGAGCGCACGTACCCTATAGTAAAAATCATCACCAAAAAAAAAAAAGAAAGAAAGAAAGAAAAAAAAAAGAAAGAAAAGAAAGAAAGAAAAGGAAATAAAAAAAAACAGAAACAACCATCACAAATGAAATCTTGTATAAAACTTGAATTAAACAGCACAAAGGTACTTGCGTTTCTTTTGTTTTTTCTCTTAGAATTTGCACATCTATGATCTCATTTTCCCCTCATAAGCATCTTGAAGGGCAAGGATCAATGGTTGTTACTAAACTCAAGATTCTGCAAAAATGAGTTGCAGACAAGTGGATTGACTTTGCTGGGAGCTAGGTAGGAGTTTTAGGAGACTAGATTCCAAAATTCAACCCCTTTTGTCTGATGAGGGAGGTGTAAAGATTAAACACCTCTCAGACTAAATAGCAGAGATTGCTCTGGACCAAAGACAGGATCACTGAGGAAGATGTTTGGAAAGACCATTTAGGAGCTCCATCATTTCCAGATGAAGGGAGCAAGCTACTCTACCAGGATTAAACAACTAATGGAAACAGCTGTGCCTAGAACCCAAGATGGCAACCAAGGGCAAGAGTTATATATGGGCCTGGGCCTGGGCCTGATTATCACTAGCTTCCAGGGTAAAGATACAGTCAGGGGGCAGGCAGGCAGGTGACATAGTGGTTAAGGGTGCTGAACTCCCCCATGGCTGGCCGCAGTTCAAGTCCTGGACCTGGTAGCTTGCTTTCTCACTTACCCTCCCTCTCTCTCTGCCCCTTTCTGGTCAAATTAAAATAAATAAAGTAATTCTTTTTTTAAAAGGTACAGGCAAAATGACTTGGAAAAATGAGAACTATGTAGTGCTTGCAGAGAAAAAGAGGGTAATGAAAGAAAGTGGAGGATTTCATCCCCAACTCTCCAATTCAGGCCCCCTTCTTACTGACAGCCACCCTGGCAAAGGGCCAGGAGGGAGGGCATTGAGAAGTACAATATAAACCTTTGAGATTTATTGGCTGCTGCTTCTGAATATGGCCATCGTGCTGTGGCCTCTCCGGGGCATTTGCCGATGTAATCAGCCCAGAAAGAGAGTCATTCCAGCTGGGGGTGTAAATCACCCTTCACAAAGCTAGGAAAGAGACATGTGGCCCTAGATAAGGAAGGAGACTGATGTGGCCTCTGTGCCCTTCCCTCCCTTCTCCTGCCCAGGGGGAGCTGGTTCCTGAGCTGTAATGCACTTTAAATGGAGTTTGTGCTTCATTTTCATCTATATCTGCCCTGCTAGTCGTACAGAAGAGCTGTAAAAGTGAACATCTGGCGACTCAGCTTTTGTACAGGGCGGTTTCCCCTCAGCTCCATCCTACCTCTACATACCTTTCTCAAACCCTCCCCTCCAGTGAGTTAGAAAACCTGTAGCCGAGGAGTTGACAGCCTCTACTATGGTGAGTTTTAAAATGTACAAAGGAAAATGTACCATTTCAAGCAGTTAGGATGCTTGGGCTGGGACCCCTGAACCAAGAAAGATGTGGAGTGGTCCAGGAATGTCACCCTTTCAGGAATGCTCTCCCCTTCCTCCAGCAACTAAACCAAATCAAGTTTGGAGTGGAGGGAGGTTAGAAAAGGTCATTTGCTCAGGGTGCCTCCTCAAAAGTATTTACTCAATGCTACCCCCACGGAATGAATCAAGAATGCAGGAATAGTGTCAAACTGAGGTCTGGGAACAATGCCCAGTTCCACCTGTAAGAAACTGGCTTTTTTGTGAGAGTAAACAAAATATTTAGAGCATATTCTGTGTGAGCACTGGGGTAGAGAGTCCGACATCACTGGGCTTTTAATGAGATTGGTAACCAAGGCTAAGGGAGGGTTGAGCCTCTGCAAATAAATGTGACTCCAAGACTAATATTGACAGCCCTTCAGCACACCCCTTCCCCACCATGTCCTCTGTGACTGTTAGCACCTGCTAGGTAAGCTGCATTGCTGCTGGAAATCTTGTGGATAATGACAAATGAGTCATTGTTTAATTTGATAATGTCTTTTGAGTCTGATTATGGGTCCAGCTTTTTGTTAGGTACAAAAATTACTAAAACATAAACCCTGTCTTGGGAGAGCCGTACAATCCACTGACTAGGGCTTAACAGTCCATAGACCCTGTATCTCACTCCACTGTCATTTGTAATCTTACCTCCTATGGTCAAGGTATATGTAGTCTTTCTTCTCAAAAGTCCTCTCTCAAGGCCAGCAGATGGTGTAGTGGTTACATTGCTGGACTCTCACATGGCCAATCAACCATAGTTTGTGTCTGGCTTGGGCTTCAAAATCTTGCTGAGTGTATGTGAGTGCATGCCCAAGATCCTGGGAGGAGAATGGGGTGATTTCTCACTTTCCTTCTGTTTGTTTTTTTCTCTCTCTCTGGGGAGTGCAAGCACCCTAAAGCAAAAACCTCTTTAAAAAAAAAAAAAAACAAAAAAAAAAAACACCACTCCAAAAAAAAAAAAAAAGTCCTCTCTCCCTGCTGTTTTTTTTTTAAAGAATTATTTTATTTAACTTTATTTATTTATTTATTTATTTTCATTTGATCAGAAAAGGACAGTGAAAGAGAGAGAGAGAGAGAGAGAGAGGGAAAGTGAGAAAGCAAGCTGCCAGGTCCAAGACTCAAACCACAGCTGGCTATATGGCAGTCTAGTGCCCTTAACCACCACGCCACCTGCCAGCCCCCAAGTATTTTTTTTTTTTTGAGAGTTTTTGCTATAGACCGCGTGTGGTCGCCAGAAAGACAAAGAGAGACAGAGATACAGAAAGTGAGAAATCACCTTCCAAGGGGGGATGGCCATGCCGCAATCCCTTCTCCGCTCTCCTCTCCAGATCTTGCACGCACACACATGCACCTGATGTGAGTGTAAGCCACCAGGTCTGGAGCCCGAACCGCAATCGACCACATGAGAGTCCAGCAACATAGCCATTATGCCATCTGCTGGTTCCCGAGTATTTTTTAGAGAGATTTTTTTGCCCTAGGGCACGTGTATTCACAGGAGAGACAGAGAAAGACAGAAAGCAAAAAGTCAACCCCTGGGGGGATGGCCACACAGCAATCCATTCTTCTCCATTTTCTCTTAGGATCTTAGGCATGCGTGAACATGTACCTGGTTTGAGTTTTAAGCCACCGGGTCCACAACTTGAACCATGGTCAACTACATGGGAGTCTAGCGACGTAACCATTAAACCATCTGCTGATCCCCTGTTGAGCTTTAATTCCTGTCGTTACCCTAAACCAGATGTTAGCAGTATAGTGAATAAAGTCACAAGCCTTATAGACTGCCTGAGTGCAATGCCATTTTCAACATTGTCACATGACCTTGGGCAAGACACTGAGTTCTTCTTGTTTCTGCCTCTTCATCCATAAAATGAAGGATAATAATAGCTTATCCATTCTGCATAACAGTTGTGAGGATTAAACAAGTATATATTGGGTAAATGGTCTAACATAGTGCCTGGAACATAGGAAGGAAGAATAAATTATATTATTTCGAGAGTTAATTATTCTGTGAACCTGGCCAGCCCCCACCACCTGACCCGCCGCTTTGGAGCTGAAGGGCCAGTCTTTCTTCTATTTGCAGAATAGAAGGCCAGAGCGCTTGCAGAAATGGGAACAAAAGGGACCAGCAGTTAGCATAATGCTATGTCGCTGGACTCCCATGTAGTCGACCGCAGTTCGCATCCCAGACCCAGTGGCTTAAAACTCATGCCGGGCGCGTGTGCGTGCATGGCCAAGATCCCAAGAGGAGAATGGAGGAGAGGGGATTGCGGCATGGCCATCCCCCCTTGGAAGGGGATTTCTCACTTTCTGTCTCTCTGTCTCTGTCTGGCGAGTGCACACGCCCTACAGCAAAAACCTCTCCAAAAAAATAAAAATAAATAAGGAAAAAATAAATGGGAACAAAGAACTTTTTTTTTTTTTTTTTTACCTTTTTTTACCTTGTCTGTCCTGAGTACAGGCCTCCCACTTGACAGTCCTCACAAGGAATAGAAAATGCTCCTCCCCTCTTTATGGCAGAGGTCAGCCAGGTCCTGGGCTGAAATTGGCAATGAGAAGCAGTTTTCTGATCAAAAGTTTTCCATTCTTTTTTAATTTTTTTTTCCCCAAAATTGCCAGAAAATATGTGCACTCATCAAAGAGGGAGAGAGAAAAAAGTACCCCTCTCCACAAATGGGACATGGTCATACCTCCATCCTTCATCCCTCCTTCCCATCAGGATTTTGGGCATGTATGCAAAAACATGCCTAAACAACCTCCAGGGCTGGGATCTGAACCACAATCAGACATGTGGGACCTGGCTCATCTAACCACTGCAGAAATGGGGGGCACTCTATTTATTACTTCATGATGTATTAGTACCAACCAATGCAAGGAAACCATTGCAGAGCTAACCCTCCATATGACCTCATGT